GTAAAATCGCAATTTTTCCTCAGTTTTTGCGCATCGACCCTCACTTCGTGCGAAAAGGTTGCTCCGGGACAAGTAAAATCGCAATTTTTCTTCAGTTTTTGCGCATCGGCCCTCATTTCGTGCGAAAGGGTTGCTCCGGGACAAGTAAAATCGCAATTTTTCCGCAGTTTTTGCGCATCGACCCTCATTTCGTGCGAAAAGGTTGCTCGAGTACAAGTCAAATCGTGATTTTACCTCAGTTTTTGCGCATCGGCCTTCATTTCGTGCGAAAGGGTTGCTCCAGCACAAGTCAAATCGCAATTTTTCCTCAGTTTTTGCGCATCGAACCTCGTTTTGTGCGAGAGGGCTGACGTTTCGTGACTCCTCGCCGGCACCGCCCGCGGCCCAAAGAGAGAAAGAAAAAGAAGGAGAGAGAAAAGGGAGAGAGAGAGGAGAGACGAGAGAGGAGAGAGGAGAGAGGAGAGGGGAGAGAGAGAGAGAGAGAAGATGTGAGTATGTGAAGATGTGAAGATGTGAAGATGTGAAGATGTGAAGATGTGAGTGTGAGTGTGAGAGAGAGAAAGAGAAGATGTGAGTATTTGAAGATGTGAAGATGTGAGTGTGAAGATGTGAAGATGTGAAGATGTGAAGATGTGAGTGTGAGAGAGAGGAAGAGAAGATGTGAGTATGTGAAGATGTGAAGATGTGAGTGTGAAGATGTGAGATGTGAAGACAGCACTATATGAAGATGTGAAGATGTGAAGATGTATGACAGACGCAAATGACAGACCCAACTATTAGAAGAACCCTTCGCTCAGACGCTCTCGGGAAAAAATGCATGTTTTCCTGAAAAATATTGAATAAAATTGAAGTGTAAGTTTACATCAAACTTACACCAAACTTACACCTCAATATTTTAATTTTGACACATTTTTTTTACATAAAATGAATTTTCAGGAAAAAATGCATTTTTTAGGAAAAAATATTATTTTTCGCAATACATTGATTTTTTTAAAAAGAAAAATCATGTTTTTTCCCCCCAAAACATGGTCAGAACATGTCAAAACATAGGGTGTTTTCTGTGAAAAAAGGCTATCAAACCACCCTTCCTGGGAGAGACTTTTCCATGTTTGTGTCAATGAAGTTGCTGGCTGGGGAGCCACAAGTCATGCAAAACAATTGCATCAATCTTTTCCAGGGCATAAATTTGAAATCTGGAAAGGCCCAAGTGATTGATTCACTGCGAGTTGGGCTGCATGTTTTTTTCCAAAATAGATTCAAAAAAACAATCCTCTAGTGATACATTGGCTCTGGGTTGGCCCTATTCTTGTTCAATCAATTTGAAGTTTGGGGAGCCCCAAATGAGAAGTAAATGTTGGGTTTAATTACCTTATGAAAAATTAAAAAAATATGAAGGCTGAACACCCCAAGGCATCGGAAAATCTTGGGGTTTGGATGTTTTTTTATGGGGATAAATGTCAAGGCTAGTGGCCCCTCAATGATGGGTCAGAAGGTTGCAGCAGAGGTCGCTAAGGCACAGTTGCTGCATTCCAAAGGCGGCGCATTAAGCAAAACCACCACTTGTGTGTCCTGGATTGCTTTTACAACCAATCATCGCACAGCATTTGATCAATTTTTTTGCCCGTCACTACTTTTTACAAGCAAGACCCCATCCAACCTTGGTTTTTAGTCTATAAAATTGTTGCTGCCCCGCATTCCAATTGATTTCGCAAAATGCCTTGGGGTTCTCCAGCCTGAAATGTAGTACCAATCCCGCCCAAGGCTGAACTTTCACTCAAGGACCTCCATCTCAATTCCGATTTTTCAAGTTCAAAAAAGGCCGGCGGCGCAAGAACAAACAAACAAAAACACATGAACGCTCATGAACACCCATGAGAAACCATGAGCACCCAGGAGAACCCATGAATTCACATGTATTCCTGTGATGTTCTCGTGTTTTTTTCGAACCAATGCAGCTGGCAAATTATATGTTCAACCATTGTTTATACAATTTTTGATTTAGCATCTTGTTTGTTTGGTCTTGCGTTTTAATACAAGGTGTTTTTTTTTAACGTTTTTGTTTTTATGAAAAAAATGTTTGTTTTTTGGTGTCTCATCCTGTGCTGGCTTGGCATCCAGAAAACATATCAATTGCCATTGTTGCAAAACAGAACTATACCTACACAAATATATATACATATGTAAATATATATATATATGAGTATATATATATATATAGTGATATCGTTTTTTGCATCCAGCGTTGGTTTGCCCCGTCCAATACAATGTCCCTGGACAACCTCATTTTTAGCCAGCAAAATGTGAAAAATGTCATATTTAATTTTAGTTGGTGAGAAATGGCGAAATGTAGCCAAGGAGTGGATGTGCCAAATGCTTCAAGATAGGCCCAATATACTCCCAATTTGGCACAGGACAAGCCCAACAAGGCTGGACATGTCAAAAAAAAGGTTCTGTTCAACCCAGACCTAATTTTTCTTAAGTCTGGGTTGAAATTGGCTGAGCACAAGCCCGAATTAAGGCTTTTTGTTCAGCATAGGCCAAGCATAGGCCCAGCAGAGCCACCAAATTTCCCAACGTGGGCCAAAATACACATGGGTGTTGATCAAAATAAAGGTTCCTGGGGAAGGTACAATCGCCGAGCAACCGCCAACCAACCGCGGTCCGAAAGGTGACAATCGCGGAAGGGTTTTGTGCTATCCAATGCCATGTTGTACAGAAAATGCAATACACATTTCTAAATACACAGACGGATACGCAAGTCACAAGCCTGCGCAGCGTTCAATCCAGACAGAATGGCACACTGGTGCGACATGTAAGTGGGCAAGAGGCATGGCATGGGCTAGTGACTACATTAGGGGGTTCCTCAATCGCCTCACAATCGCGGATTTTTGGATCAAATATGGAAAACCATGTCGGCCAAAAGTCCAACTCCACACAGCTTCCTGCGCTCGCGATATGGTGGTCGGGCCCAGCCCACTCCACAGCCTCCTGAGCTCGCGATATGGCGATCGGGCCCAGGCACACTCCACAGCCTCCTGAGCTCGCGATATGGCGATCGGGTCCAGGCACAGTCCACATCCACCGGAGCTTGCGATCTGCAGTTCGCGTCCAGGCATGGCAGCATCCGGAGCTGGCAGAGAGGAAGGCAAGCAGGCGAAGGAGAAGAAGAGAAGGCCCGGCACCTCTGTTAAAATCTAGAGGCCCTCTCCTGGCAGGTGGGGAAAAAACCTGCAAAGCCCAGCACACAAGACTGCAGCACGGACACATACAAAAGCAATTATATAACATATATGATTTTCTCCCATATACACAGTAGACGACTGCATCAATCGCAAACCAATCGCCGAGCAATCGCGATGCAGCGTTTTACAATCGCGGATGTCAAGATATACATACCCATTCATAATTCTTAGACTTGCATTTGCGATCGGCCCCCACATGCTAAAAATGTGTGGGATAGCCCCAACATAGGTTCCATTTCCAGGCTAATGCTCTTGTATTTGATCTAGCTAAGCAAGTGAAACAGCGGGGCTCCAGAAATTCCCAAAGCTTCACCACAAGATCATGAAACAATTTTGAACACAAAATCGAAAAAGACACCTCAGTGCTCAAGTGACACTTGCTTTCTTATGTGAAGTGTTTTTGAAAAACATTTCAACTTTTGTTTTCAATTGTATCCACAAAATGTTGAACGTCTTTGAGGTTGTTGATAAACAAGGATGGTTTTCAAAGAAACAGCCTGAAAAAACGTAGCTTATTCATGAAAATAAAATACAGGAAAAAAGGTTATTGATGCAAATAACCTACAGAAAAAAAGGATATTCACTAGAATAGCCTATTTAGGCAAACTGAGAAACAACCTAACAGTCAGAAACCAAATAAACTAATAGATAGAAAATAACCTTCAAAACTGAATTAACCCTGATATTTAAGATTTAGTCTGACCAGAGCTATCGGGAAGTTGAAGATGTGAAAACGAAGCTTTTGTGCGAGACTTCCTTCAAAAACCAACAACTTGAAGTTGTCCAAATGAAGCCTGAACTGTCAGCTAGTGCGCCGCCGATCCGAGAATGATCACGATCACCGCCGGGACCGTCTCGCAACCGCCGCGCGGACAAGCTTCCCCATCCATCTTCCGAGGCACGTTTTGACCTGCAAAACACAACATTTCGTGCATCCGCTATCTCTCAAAAACGCATCTCGTGCGAGCCTTCCCTCAAAAAGTGAAAGTTGAAGATGTGAAAACGAAGCTTTCGTGCGAGATACCCTCAACAAGTGAAAGTTGAAGATGTGAAAACGAAGCTTTCGTGCGAGATACCCTCAACAAGTGAAAGTTGAAGATGTGAAAACGAAGCTTTTGTAGACTTCTATGCTATCAGAGCTCTCTTCTATCAGACTTCTCTGCTATCAGACGTCTCTGCTATCAGACTTCTCTTCTATCAGACGTCTCTGCTATCAGACTTCTCTGCTATCAGACTTCTCTGCTATCAGACGTCTCTGCTATCAGACTTCTCTGCTATCAGGCCTCTTGCCATTAAAAAAATACGTAACACGGAAGTATAGACTCCTAAACTTCCTTTGATGAATGAAAATTGTTAATTACTTGGAATGAAATGGAATTATTATGAATTAGAACGAATGAAAAGGAATGTTCCAGGAGTGTCCCTATGAGGAATGTCCCTCTCCATAGACAAGAATATAATGTAGATGTGGAGATGTAAGTATGGATATGTAGATATGGGGATGTAGGTATGGAGATGTAGATGTGGAGATGTAAGTATAGGTGTGTAGATTTGGAGACGTGTGGATATGAAGGTATGGGTATGTAGGTGTGGAGATGTAGATGTGGAGATGTAAGTCAGTATGGAGATGTAGATTTGGAGATGTAAGTCCGGATATGTATTCCAACTCCAATGTGAACGTCCGTAACTCGGAAATCTTCCAACTTCCTTTGACAAAGTGACAGTTAAAAAAGATTGATGGTACGGTGTCCACCCTGCCTTTCCATAGGCTTGGCCTGTTTCCATGCCAGCATCCACCAACTCTTTGTAAATGTCGGGCAAATCATTGACCTTCGCTCCGTACATGCCTAGTCGCTGAGCACCGGTGATCTTCGTCCAAAGCCCATACTTCTTAGCTGTGGTTGCAAAGGCAATGAGGGTGTCAGGAGTGATGTCGCCTCCAGGGCAGCGAGGGATCACCGAATACGTTCCTGTCTTTTGGATGTTGGCCAGGAATCGGTCGTTGGTGTCCTGAATCTGATCTCGTCCCGCTTTCAAGGCATGATCATTCCATAGACTTGACAGAATGGAGGCTATGACAGGCTTACACAGTTCACAGCCATCAGAGCAGTCAGAGTTTTTCCCAACAACTTCAAGAATTTCCTTGAAGGATTTCAGCTCTTTGACCTTAATGATATCGAAGAGCTCTTTCCTGGAGTAGGGGAAGTGAACACAAATGCCAGAAGCACCTGCTTTGCCCAGCTTCTTGAGGGTGTGCGACAGGAGTTTTGGCACTTCACCCACGGGTGTGACACATCCACCGCAACCAGTTCCTGCTTTGCAAGCCTTCTTGATGAGTGGAATGGTGTAGGCTTCCTTGTCAATGATGGCTTGGCGAACCTGACTCTTAGACAACCCGATGCAGGTGCAGATGGTGCAATCATCTGTTAGGCCAGTGCCATCACCACCATCTGAAACTGCGTTGCTGCCTGGAGGTGGCAATTTGAAGGCCAAGGCTACAGGGTCATTGCCAGCAAGATCGTCCTTTTTGCTGAGCTGAAGCAGTTTGCCATAGTCCTTCGCATCTCCAACCAGAACGCCACCCATCAATTTCGAACCATCTGCGGAGAAGCACAGCCGGCGATATGTGTCGTTGAGGTCATCCTTGCTGTCAATGAATTTGATGCTTGGATCCTTCCCAGTATATTGGCCCTTGAACCAGAAGTCAGCACTGCGGCCAAAGGAAGCAACCTCAACACCAAGAAGCTTGAGTTTCGTGCTCAAGTCGCTGGCACGATACACAGATGATCCCGGCCGCAGCAGGTTCAGCACCAATGTTTCAGCTTGCTCAACACCAGGTGCCCACAAACCGTAGCACATGTTGCCACCGATGGCTGCGACTTCTCCAATGGCATAGATGCTTTCATCAGAGGATCGCAACTGAGCGTCCACTTCGACGCCGCCCCTTGCACCCATCTTCAGTCCGCACTGCCTCGCCAACTCGTCACGTGGGCGAACGCCACATGAAACAATCACAAGATCAGTGTCCAGGATGGTTGGGGACTCTGCCCCCTTTTCAACTAGCTCTATGCCTGTGACTTTCCCATCATCCAGCACCACGCGCTTGATTTGCACACCACAATGCACATGAACACCCAGATCGTTGATCTTCTTCATCAGGACTTGACCAGCAATCTCATTTAATTGGGTTGGCATCAGGTATGGTGCCATTTCCAGGACATGGCTTTCCATCTTCAGATCAAACACAGCCTTGGCAGCCTCTAGTCCCAGCAATCCACCACCGATGACCACTGCACGCTTGGCCCCTGACTTGGCCTTCCCAAGCAGTGCCTCAAGGTCTTCAATGGTGCGGTAGACGAAAACCCCTTCCGGCCTTGAGGCAGGATCATCCGGCCAGTTCACATTTTTTTTCTCTGGGATAGTCATTCCTGGCACAGGAGGAACAAAGCAGAAGGAACCAGTCGCCAAAACCAAAATGTCATAGCCAACCACTGTTTGAGTTTCAGCCCCTTTCTGGCTGGCATAGGACACCTTCTTGGCTTCTCTGTCAATAGACATTGCTCGGCCATAGAGAAGGTTCACTTTGAGTTCCTTCAACTCTTCCTCGGTGACATAGGATAGTTTCATCTTGTCATGTTTTTCGGCATCCCGGTCCTCAAAGTACTGTGTCAGCATGACTCGGTTGTATGCTGGGCGTGGCTCTTCGCAAAGGACTGAGATCTGACAGCCGCTGCTCTCGGCAGACATCTTCTCAATAAAGGAGTGGCCGATGGGCCCATGGCCGATGACAAGGATAGACTTTGCCATGGCGCCAAGTCGTCCCTTCCGAGCGTTGACAACGCTTTTTTGCCAGACTTGATTGAAATGTCTGGCAAGTGAAATCTTTTCAACATGCAGTTTTTAGGAGATTGCATCTGGGAAGAAAATCACTCAAGAATTCAAAAATGCCCGCAGAACCAAACGTTCGCCCACACCTCAATTAAGCAAGGATATAAATCCTAAATCATCCACCCCTCTCAAGCAATACGTACAAGGGTCTTTATATAACTAAGGAAAGATATAAACCCGCCACACCCCTCAGCAATACGTGCGCGCAGAAGGGTCTTATGATGGTGATGTTATGTCAAATAACACATTTTAGGAAGGATATAAATCAACCACACCCCTCAAACAACACGTACAAAGGTCTTTTAATATAACTGTCGAAGGATGGCCGTTTTGTGGGAGAAAACATAGGCTCCGGAACATTCTTGGCCATCCCAGAAATTTACGCCAAGAACCCTTCGCAAACTTTGTGGGGGTGCGTGGAAAGGAAGGGCCGTTTCGTGCGAGAAAACTTAGGTTCCGGGCAAACGTCCGGATCTGCGCGCGAAAATGGAGGATTCCTCGCAAAATCTCTGTGTTTCGGACCTTCAAGAGCTGAAATATTAAAGTTTTGGTTTTTGGGCCTTCAAGAGTTCAAAACATGAAGAAAGGGCAACTCTGCGGGGTTTTTCTGGGCTCAGAAGTATCCATTTTGTGGCAAAACCATTGTATGGCACGTGCCTTCAAATGGAGAAGAGACTGGAAAAAAAGAGAAGAGAAAAGAAGAGAAGACAAGAGAATAGAATAGAATAGAAGAGAAGAGAAGAGGAGGCGAGAGGAGAGGAGAAAAGAGAAAAGAAGAGGAGACGAGACGAGAGGAGACGAGAAAAAAACGAGAAGGGAAGAGAAGAGAAGAGAAGAGAAGAGAAGACAAGAGAAGAGACGAGACGAGACGAGAAGAGAAGAGAAGAGAAGAGAGGAAAAGAGGAGAGGAGAAGAGGAGAGGAGAAGAGGAGAGGAGAGGAGAGGAGAGTAGAGGAGAGAAGAGAAGAGAAGAGGAGAGGAGAGGAGAGCAGGGAAGAGAAGAGGAAAGGAGAGGAGAGGAGAGGAGAGAAGAGAAGAGACAGGATGAGAAAAACAAACACTTAAACCAAAAACAAAAAGCAGAGGATAGGAATGGAAAACAAGAAAAATCAAAATAACTTGGCTTCCATTCATTTGGCTTTTGTCTTGTCCTTCAAACGCGTGATATCGTTGAATCTTCCGCCGTTATGGGCAACATTTTGGCGCTCGAACTGGCCATTTTGCACGGTATTTGGCAAATAGGGTTCATGTAGGATTGGTTTTAAAGATAGTTTCGGAATAGATTTATATACATATATATGTGTGTGTGTGAAAATACATAGGCAGAAAAAGGCATTTACCAGTGTGTAAGCTTGGACTTAAATAAAAAAGCGGGAGAGGGGGACTGGGGGGGAGGGCTGAAGAGTTGCAGTAGTGTCCTATACAGCGTCTTCCCTGGCTGCAAACATTACCAATTGCACCCATAGCCAGTCAATGCTGCGCCTAGGTCAAGCTATACTATCCCTCTTGAGCCTTGACCAGCGTTTTTAAACTGTGCTCAGTACTCATGCATATGCCCTGGTAGGGATTGGTCCAAAACAAAAACACAGGCACAAATTCAAAAGCAATGAGTTGAGCACTACGCCTTGTCGTTGCCCATATTAGATTTCTAGTTTTTGACTGAACAACACGTTGACTAAATAGCAAAGAGCGCGCAGTGAAAAATGTGAAGAGTCCTAAGATTTCTCAACAATGGCACATTCCGTTCAAACCACCCACCCTCCCTGACACATGCAGATTTCACACAGTTGGCCGTCAAGGTTGGTCGCAAAGAGTTGGAAACATCCACAGTGCTATTGGCATGTGGCCAACACTCACTGCAGATTCTACCCTCATTGACCTCCTTGACTCATGCCTCTGTGTTCCCACCTGCCGTGCGCTATGAGGAGGAGGACGAATCGGATGTTGAGAATTCGGATGCATCGGGTCCCCTGTTTCGAAAGCAAACCTTGCACTAGGCCTTGCACTTCCCTCCTGATGGGACCCGATCAAACATGGAGTACGAGGTGAGACCCTTACCGAAATGCGGGTGCGCCAGTCTCTGGGGTGGAAGTCGTCCCCTTGGGTCAAAATTTCGTGAATCCTGCCTCCCTTCGCTATATTCGCAACAAACTTGCTTGTGCCTTTCAGGCACTGTTCAGCAGGGAGTGATTCAACTTCCATGTCTTGTGTGATGGGGATGATCCGTTTTGGGTCCGCCAGTTGACTGGGCTCCTGCGCTGCGGTCAGGGCTCGTAGCTCGTTCTTTGCCGCGGCAATTTTCTTTGCTACTCCTGCTTTGGTGGATAAATTGCTAAGGCTGGCTAACGGGGAAGATCTCACGCATCGTAGGAAGGCTTGCTGTGGTTATTGTTGCGCCTTCAAGGGGGCTGCTCCACCACGTTCACAACAGGCGTCGCAGAGCCAGGAGGAACAGAACCACTGCTTGGCTCAGGTCCAGGTCCAGGTCCACAAATCTGGGCCATCAGCTGCGCTGCCAAGTTGGGATTGGCAACATCAGGTTGAGGAGGCGGCGCGGCCTCCTTCTTGTCAGGAGCGCCTGTCCCAACAAGCCACAGCAGCACCAGCAACGCACAGCGCAGCGACATGGTGCACAACACCGGTGGCGGGGAGGCGCGGAAAGACTTTGAACACTGAGAAACGGCTGTGGAAAAAAGCTGCAGTGAGTGAGCCAAGGGTTCAACTTGACAACTGCTTTTGAAACCAGTCTTGAAGCCAACGGTTCCGCTTGACAACCCTTGTTCAAACCATTGTTCTTTCAAACGCTTGTTCACCTTGACACCTGCAAGTCAAACCATTCTTGTTTGTGAAATTTAGTGCACGGCCGGTCTTACTTTCTAGACAGCAGGCTAGTTGCAGCTGGCAGACCTCGAAGTTTTTCCATCCGTGCGCACGGCTTCTCAGTAGGACCCGGCTATTCCAGTCCTGCAACGAGACTTGTCCTCAGCACAGAACGCCCAGTGGGCGACAGCCTCTTCCAATCCGGTGAACTGAAGCCTCACTTGTGGGAAGCTTTCGTCTGTGGGATCATTGCGGACAACAAGCAACTGTCGAGCTTTGGCAGCATTCAATTTTGGAATTGCGTCATTCAAGCCTTCTCGGTTCAAAAGTTGCCACTTACAATCCACCAACTGCAAGACCTCGGTCAATTGCAGACATTCAGCCCTGTGCGCCTGGACAAACGCAGGTGTCAGAAACAAGAGCCGCTTGGTCTTGATTGCAGGCTTGTACGCTACTGTGATACCATGGGCTCCTTTCGTTTCCACAAACAGCTTGTTGCCAAGCACACCTCCGACCAAACCAGCAAAAAGAAGGACAGGGGGAGTCACGTCTGTGGGATCTTTGCAGGCGAAAATTCTGCCTGCATGTATGTGACGTGCCACGACAACTTCAGGCGGCAAGTGCACAGCGGGGACATCATGGACATAGACCGGCAAGTTGTCCACCCAAGCAGCCTGGGCAAACTGGTTAGGAGGGGACCTAAAGCAAAGATTCGGGGTCATAGGTCGACGGGCTTCCTTCTATGTGGCTTTGCTTTGCACAAGCTTGTACTCATTGTTCCGCTCGCGTTGGGTCTTAGCAAGTTTGTCAGCGTAAGTCTCAGCCAAAGTCCTCATTTCATCTGTGATGTCAGATGCAGGCATCACGACAAGCAGCGGCTCTTCAATGACGGCCTTGCGTCTCTCCTCATCGCAAAATGCGATCTCAGCCATTTGCTTTTCACCAAATACTTGAGCAATCTGTTCTGCGGATGTGACTCTTTTTGGAAGGACCGAGCTGGCTGCACTGTCTGGGTTTGCAAACTCATCATTGACCATAGCGCAGCCCTGAAGAAAACCAGCTTCGCCATCTTTGAGCTTCTTCCTGCAAAACAGGAATCAACAAATGTCGGAAACTGAGAAAAACAAAAATGAATCGGTCCTGGGGATGTTTTTATCCCAACGTTGCACTCACTTCGAAGAACCACTTGTGCGCACACGGCTGCAATGCTGAGACCAGAGCTTGGAAGCTGCAGAGATCAATTTCTGCTCCTCTGCTTCGGAGAAGGAAGAAGTCATTATGTCATTATGTCCTGTTGTAGTATCAGGAGCACCTCCTTGGAGTTGATGTTCTCATCTTGGGATTGGCCCAGCTGCTTCACGTTCTGAGCTACACTGAAGCCCAGCTCACAGCCTGAAGAGCTACAGCTCCAGCACCCCAGTCGTGCCAATGCAGGAATCAAGGCCTCTGCAGAGTGTGCCATGCGATTCTTCTGAGTGCACCGGATTGCTTTGCGCCACGCGTGGAAATTTTCCAGGCCTTCCACGTGGGCAAACTTGGAAGCAATCGGAAGAAAATGCCCAAACTCGTATTTCAATGCTGCACCATTGACACCAATGGCGTCAGCAAATTTTTGCAGGCAGTTGGCGCGCTCTCCATTCTCCAGCTGCTTTCTCAACCTGGAGGCATCCGAGAGAGCGAAAAAACTCGCAAAGAGGACACCAGTTGAAATTGAGGAAATTCACTTTCAAGCACTGACTCAGAAACGACCACATATGCAGACATGCGTTTGAGGCAGTTGCGGATAACATCCTCTGAGACAGCCTTTGCTCCTCCCAACTTCACTCGGACCCTGCAAGACATCAGCAACCGTGGCTCTGCAAGGTGCTGCAACATGACCTTGGCGAGGCCAACATGGACGCAGGCGCCTTCCACAAAAAGTTTGCGGATGACACTGCGGTAGCGCTCCAACTCATAAGGCAACTCCGACTCATCACAAATCTCTCTGCATCAAAGGCTCGCGCGAACCTGTGCAATTCCAAGGCTGCGTCGGCAAGCATGCCCAGGAGTAAGGCCTTCTCAGCGCTGAGGAACTGCAAAGATGCTAAGCACGCAGCTCCTTCAGTGGAAGTTCGGGCCAAAATGGAATCCCAGGTCAGGACCAGGCGTGCTAGCACCTTACTTTCTGAGGAATATCATCTCTGCGGTGCCCATGCTAGATCTCGGATGCTCTGGCTGATGACCACCTTCTCATCTGATTTTTTCTAAAGTCAGAGTAGAGATCTTTGATGTTGTGGCTGTTGGCCACCAGGCGAGCCACCGACTGCGGTTTTTCTACAAACTCGTCCGCAATCTCCTTGAGTTGTGGGTCAGCAGCCAATGGTCGGCTCAGCATCCTTTGCGCTGGGTGAGCTCTACCTTTGCCCAACACCTTCGAATTTTTGAACGCTTGACCCATGACATCCTGAAGTTGCATGATGTCAGGCCCGCTGATTCCTGCGAGGTCCCTCATGGCCCTCTGTTCATCAGCTGCAGCGTCCGCTGCCATACATTCGACCTTGTTCATCATGTCATTGCCTCCAGCATGGAGAAATCGCATTCTCTCACTACCTCCTTGACATCCTTCCTCAAACCAGGGTAGTTCGGAGGGGCAGAAGGAGTGCAGAAACTTTGCAAGGCCTTCAATGTCATTTCCCTGATGCCTTGAGCTCCAGGATTGTCCGGTGAAGAACTGGCTTTGATCAGTTGCAAGGTGCCCTCGCAAACTTCCAAATCGGGGTTCCTGAATCTGACGAGGAACCGCCTTCCACGCTGGTCTTGCGCAAGGCTAATGCACAAGGCCTCTCTGGCCCTCTGCCTTTGCACTTGCCGGTGGCATTCTGCCAAGCACCATCGCATCATCGCAACTTTCTTTCTGTTCCCGACATCTGCCACATCAGCAACGCAGCAGCCAGGCTTTGAGTCCTGCAAGACTGATTTCCACTCAGCACTGAGGGGCGCAAAGCCCCCAACATCATCCATTGCTGGAGCCTTTCCACCAACCATGCTTTCAGCTGCGCGGAGTCTGCATGCTTTCACAAGCGGGTCAAACGAATCTCTCCACTTTGGACTTGATACCTGGCAGAATGATGCCTGGACACTGGGAACTTGGACACGACTTCTGGACTAACTTGCTGGGCATCTTTGCAAAGCCGGCAACCTATTCTCGAAGATGTGGTCTCCATATCCATTCGGGCATCCAGCCATGGCAAGTCTTCCTGCCATTTGTCCTTATAATTGGCCCACTTGCAGCGAGCGCATTGACCTTCGCGGAAAGAACACGCTGTCACATGGGCTTCATCATCAAAACCTTCTACTGAAAAATCTGGCGTCTTTTGGTCGGAGTCACGGATCTCTACCGCGCTGAAATTGAGCCCCCCCCAAAAAGAAGTCTTGCAAGCCGGAGCGACATGAAGCAAAACACAGCCCTAGCAGAAAGTCGCCACCCCCACTTGGGTTCGGCTCGGCTCTACTAGGAAAAAAATATGCCCGCAGCTTTAAATCCTTTTGAACACGCGCGCTATGACCTCCAATGCGCGCGTGTTGACCGTTGAAACACGAATGGCGCTCAGCCAAAGATTCCTTGATGTTGTCTCTAGGTTTGCTTTCCAAATATTTTGGAAAATCACGTCTTCTTCAGAGTCCGTCTCTGTGAAGTAGGCGCCTCGACGTGCGAGCTCCTTCCGGAGTTTCTTCGCCAATTTGTGAGCCAGCTCCGACGTCTTAGTCAGGGCGACAATCAGAATCAAGCAACTCTGCAATCTGGACGGTATATATGTGTAAAAAGAGAAAACAAGTATCAAACTGAATTTGAATCTCTTGCCAAAGCGCTCACTTCAGCATCAGGTAGTCATATTTGTCGATCAGCCAATTTGCGGACATCTTGCGAAGGAGTCGCTCTTGAACTTGCTGAGAGGTGAAAGCACCGGCCTCGCTGATGCCACTGGCCCTGCATGGCTACCCATCATGGTGTTGGGTCCGTCGGCCGGTGCGCCCTGAGACCTCCTACCATTGAACACCGAGGGCTGCAATTGAAATGAAACATATTCTGCAAGTACAAAAATCAAGCCTCCTTGCTTGCCACATTAAAAAAAAACAATAGGAGACTGGCGCTTCAAAAATGAGAAAAATATTGGAGGTAAAAGCCAACATTTTTTTCCTGCGAATCGACACCGGCATCCACGGCCATGGGTTGCTGAGATTGGATTGGATGACGGATGTCCTGGCGTGGGCTCCTCCAAGCTTGTCCCTGGTTTGCGCGCAAAATATTGGCGCGCAGCTGAGTGACTACTCAGGAGGCCCTTATATGGCGCTCTCCTTGGCACGGTCTTGAGCCTGAGGAGGCTTCTTTAGTAACCTCCTTGGGGGAAGTCTGCGTGACTTACTTTGGAACATGTTCTCTTGCAAACAAAACGAGAGACCAAGGAAACTTAAACTTTGAACAGACGTGTTCAACACAGTTCCCAATGTGGACACTCAAATTTGAATTTCCAAGCTGCTAGTCTTGGTCTTGGTTTTTTTTGGCGCATATCGCACTAAAAGTGTGTTGTCTGAAGATAACAGGTTTTGCCCTTATATAGTTAGCCATGAAAGGAAAACTATATATGATGAGATGTATATTGTTGCTGAAACTTCTCTTCACTGTGTCATTGTCATCACAATAATGGAATTACATAAAACCAATGATGGATCTTATATTCTCTTTTGAAGACGACAATAGGCGCAGAGGACCCTAATACTTCAACCCCAGTATGTGCCCAGTGACTTATTCTGAAGCTATGGTTCTGGCGACGGGAGTCGCAGGTTCGGCAACTGCGGTGCATCTGCCTCTCGACCTGGATCGGTCACCTGCCGTGCTCACGGCGGGGCTCAAAAACCTTGCAACACTGCCTCTAGCAGATGTAGTATGGGTTGGGGAACTAGCCGATGTACAGTTGGTGCTCCAGATCGCGCCGCTGTAGCAGCCTATTCCTCCACTTCAATCTCAACCTCTGCCTCTTCTTCCTCGGCCTCTGCAGGAGCTTCGGGCTCAGAATCTTCGGCTTCTGCTTCGAGATCTAATTCCTCTGCGGGAGCAACAGGTTCCTCTGGGAGAGGAGTGCTAGTGGCTTCTGGTTTGTCCTCAACTTCCGCTGGAGTTGTTGACCGGAAAAGCAAGGTTAGGATCTGTAGGTGGAGTGATGGGGATTGTACGGCGTCTGTTGGTATAGGATGCCTTCCTAGAAGATCCAACAGTTGTTGCGGACGCAAAGGTTTTGCGTTTTGTCGCAGGCGGTCGAGGTGACAGCACAACCTGGCGGCTGCCTGGTGGAGCACTGTCTGCACGAGGCCTATGTGTTGTGATCCGACCTGCTGGCTCTGAGATTGGAAGAACAACAATACGTCCTGAGCTAACTCATGTAGTGTTCTGCCCTGCAAAATTCGGATTACGCCAAATGGAGTCAGGCAATTTGTGGCGCAGCGGGTGCTGCTTCGCCCGGCACTACAGCTGGCAGAGCACGAGGTCTCCTTGTGCTCGGATCAGCTTCTGGTGGGCCTGCAACCCCCGCCCAAGTTCCTTCCTGATTCACAACAATGATAAGGTAATTAGGGTCAGCGGGTCTAAGGACTACTGGTCGGGATTCTAAGTTGGGAGGAAAATTCTTAATGTTCCACCACGCGCACGTCTTAATAAATCCGGGTCAGGATCTGCAAAGGTTCCGTCAGCACGGGGTGATGACTCTTGCAGAACTCTGGACCGAGATCTACTTGGAGGTGCAAGGTGTAGCTTGAGGCGCAGGTTTGTCAGCAGCCTCTTCCGCTCTGAATCTATTCGCAATTGGATTCGAGAGAGTAACTGTCGGGTTTCCACGAGCTTGCCTATCTAATTCCGCACGGGTTGGTGAGGAATGTGCAGGTGGTGGTGGAATTGCCAATAGCGGGGAGGCAGGTGGTCAGGTTTCTTAAGGTCTTTGGCCTCAGATTTCGCTTTCTCTTTAAGAGTAGTGTCAATGGTGTCATCTGGATCTGGGGATGATGAATCGTCTGGGTCCCTGCCTAGCTGGCTCTCCCTTGCAGTCGACGGGTCTGTGGCCTGCTGGAAAACTGATCCCTTAGTTAGGTTGATGCTGCTGTGGGCCTCTATAAATATCATAGGGGTCCCAAGTTGTCCTAGGTGGTCTGAAACACCGCAAAAGCCTGTAGATTGATCACGATCAGGAAGAGCAGTGTTTTGTTGGATCCGTCTAGCAGCAGCAATGCCTTCGTGTTTCCGATACCCGCTCTGGTATGACCAATTGGCGCAGGGTGGAAAAACGTTGGCAATTTGAACGAGTCGGAAAAACAATTTCTCAGGAGTACACGAAAAATTGTAAGGGTCCAGATAGATTCGGAGTTACTATCTTCGTATTGTCGGTAATGTGTCCAAAATTCGCCCGATTCTCGGCACAACCAATCTGCGAAGAAATCGAAATCCTTCTGCCAGCGTTTGATTAACCACCAAGGGCTGACCGGACACATAGCACCCCAGGACCAAAAGGTCACATAGTACCCCTACTGGGGAGGCAGTCCAGCATGCAACACTCTTGAAATATCTTGCATATCAGGTAGCTGACTTGCAGCATTTGCAAGCATGTTTTTGTCAAAGGCTCGAGGCGCAGTTGACTCCAAATGAATGTGTTCTAAAGCTTCACGGTGCAGGAATCATATGAGGAATTATAATAGCATAGTAATATAGTAACATAAATTATGAGTATAGCAAAAGTAACATATATATATATATATATGAACCCATTATGTTTGCCATGGATCCCCCAAACAGGGCTGCAGAAACAAACATAATATTTTTTTGTGGAATATACCAGGGATATTTTTTTCTGAAGCCCGTCCTCGCTGCTAGCACTTTCGTCCAATTCGGTATGTTCAAAGGAAACTTAAAACACTAACAGATACTAACAGTGAATTTAATCTTCGTGCATATAGGTAATGTTGCAGCAACCTATCAAGTAATGTCCTCAAACATTCCAAAACACTAACAGATACTAACAGTGAATTTTAACTTCGTGCAAAGAAGTAACGTTGCAACAACCTATCAAGTAATGTCCTCAAACATTCCCATTTTTAGTGTTTCACATGGATATACATGCAAACATGCATATGTGCACATCAAACTGGTCTAGATTGGGTCTCCATAGAACAATAGTGTGCATTGTATGTAAGGTTCATATAAACACAAAAGTTGTATATTTACCATCTATTACTTACTTAAGATCCACAGTCATGCAAACATATAAACACTTTTTCATTTGCACCCTGATCCAAGTGCCGCTAGCTTTTTTGCCATGGAATGCAAGATATGGCGCGCAGCTGCAAATACCTTGTGCTGGCAGGCATCGGTCGACGGTCGTGTTGTTTTCATTTGTGGGATCACATTGTCAATTAAGGGGAAAATACAATATGATATAGATTGATATAGTTACATAACATAAATTTGGTAACCTGCAAAGTTGTTCAAATGCAACATGACAGGCTCAAGTTAGTCATGCCCACCCGAGAAAAGAACCAAAGGGTTATTCGGGATCAATGGGTGAAGTTTATTTGCAAGCGCTGGCTGCGATGGATGAATAGCAATGGCCACATCAACCGACAAATTGGCACAAACCGTTTGCTGCCAGTAGGGAGTTTGAAGAGGGCCTCTCTGAAAGAAATATTTGGTGGTTGGATCTGTCGACTTCGTGGGGAGGGACGTCGGTTGACAAAAAAACTAGCCATGGATGTTTGCACAAGAATGAGACATGAATTGGGGATGGAGAAAACTATCCCACAAGAGGAGATCACTCGCCTGCACTGCCTTTTGAAAATGGCTCGAAAAAGGAAATTGCAGAAGCCGGCCCAGAGAAAGGAAACTATGGTAGTCAACATCGATGAAGTGGACACTCTTCCAGTCGACGAGGACCTGCCTTCTTTTGCCAAGTTGCTGCATTCGATCTAGTTCAGGATCACTG